CAGAGGATGCCTCTCTCAACCAGCCTATTTCAACATAGTGTTGGGAGCCAGGAGGAGCGAAAAGGAAAAACTATCACAAGGACAGAAAACCAAACACTGCATGTTCTCTCTCATAGGTGGGAATTGAACAATGAGAACACTGGACACAGGGTGGGGAACACCATACACCAGGGCTTGTCGTGGGGTGGGAGGAGGGGGAGGGATAGCATTAGGAGATATATCCAATGTAAATGACGGGTTAATGGGTGCAGCACACTAACATGGCACACGTATACAAATGTAACAAACCTGCATGTTGTGCACATGTACCCTAGAACTTAAAGTATAATAAAAAATAAAAATTAAAAAACATTATTTATCTAAGTTAAAACATAGACAAAAATCTTAAAATATTACATACAAAATTCTAGAATATGTAAAAGGACTCATACACAATGACTAAAAGTGGTTTATTCCCAGAATGCAAGATTAGTGTAACTTTTTAAAATAGCATAATTTACTATATTAATAGAAAAAGAAATGGGAAAAAGTATATTGTCATCTCCGTCTACTCTGAAGAAACTTTGAACATAAAATTAAATACCCATTCGTTAAAAAAAACCAACTCTCAGGAAGCTTGGACTCAATGGGAAATTCTTTAATCTGATAAAAAATACGTATTTTAAAAACCTACAGCGAGGCCGGGGGCGCAGTGGCTTACGCCTGTAATCGTAGCACTTGGGAAGGCCGAGGCAGGTGGATTGCCTGAGCTCAGGAATTTGAGACCAGCCTGGGCAACACGGTGAAACCCCATCTCTACTAAAACAGACACACAAAAAATTAGCCAGGCATGGCAGCATGCGCTTGTAGTCCCAGCTACTCAGGAGGCTGAGGCAGGAGAATTACTAGAACCTGGGAGGCAGAGGTTGCAATGAACCGAGATAGTACCACTTCACTCCAGCCTGGGCAACAGAGTGAGGAGTGAGACTCTGTCTCTAAAAAATCCTACAGTTAATATCACACTTAATGGAGAAATAGTATACACTTATCTCTTGAATTTGGGAATAAGTCAGTGGTGTCCATTCTTATAACTTAATCATTTCCAATGTACTGGAGTACACAGGGCAACATGTATTATTTTGTTTCTTTGATTTTTGGAGTGATGCTTTTTCTCTAAAGGTAGTTTTTAGTTATTATTCGGGCAGGCTCTGTGGAGTAAGTGAAAAAAATGACTTAGAAATGTGTCCTGTCTTTTCAAACTCAATGAGTTCTAAAAATTTCTAAAAATCATTTATAAATGAGTTTAATGTGAATGTTTTTCTTCTCCTTAGCATTAGTGAATTTTCGATCTGTCTACCCTAGTACTGGGAATAAAAGGGTATATATGTATTGGCTTTAAAAATACTTATTCTAGATTTCTAATGCTTTATGAATATATTTCTGGAAAGTTATTTTATTTAAAGATTCCCAATATGTCTTTGTGTTATGTACCTGCTCAGAAAATAGAGAAACATTGAAGTATTAATTTGCAAATGTGTATAGAAGTAGCAAACGACCTCAACAGTGGTGAGACATCAGGCTTGTCCCATCAGTTCCATTGATCCAACCATTGACCTAAAAATGCACAAACTAAAGAAAAAAGTCTCTTGATCAAGAACCATTAAAAATTCCATTCCTCATGTTGGAATTTTTCCTTTATCTAATTTTTGTGAGACATGTAAGACACTTGGTATTAATAATAATATTGCCTTGCATGGGTGAAAACTAAGACCCTGAAAAATTAAAGAAATTGAGGAATCTCACAAGCAACTGGTACTTAATGAATACCATACAGCCTAGGCCTTTGGAATACAGACTTAGCACCTGAATACTGTTTTAAGTACTTTGATTGATGACGGTCAGTTAACTTATCTGAGCCAATTGTCTTTTCCTCACCAGAAAGCTTTGTAGAGATGCTGATTATTTTTAGTCTAGTTACACTTTTTTCTAAAGACTCTCTTCCAAATATATGTATTTATATTATGTGATCATGACCACAGCTGAGATAACTGGATGACAACCAATTCCAAAAATGGATGTCTGAAGAAGGCGCACACAGTGCCCGACCACAGTGGCACACCAAAGGAAGGAGGTGGGAAAGTGTTGCACCCTAGTGCAATAAGAGGATGCGTTATCTATAGATCATTTAACAAATGACAATAAAATTGACTAAAAGTACTTCTTATTATCACAATATACCAGACATCCAAAACAAATTCAAAGTCAGTGATAAAATATTCCTTTCCTCCACAGAAAACTGTTTCCACCAAATCCCCCATTCCTACCTTTGGTACACCACTGCCCAATAGTCACGTACATATTTACATTTGTTGTAGGTATCTTTTGGATTGTGTGTATTAACAGTACATAGGCAACATATGAAGCATATTCAGAGATATTTATCATCACTACCCTTACTCTCTGATGCCAAACTCTATTTCTTTTTTCTTTTTTTTCTCCCCAAGACGGAGTCTTGCACTGTTGCTCAGGCTGGAGTGCAATGGCACTATCTCAGCTCACTGCAATCTCAGCCTGCCAGGTTCAAGCAATTCTCCTGCCTCAGCCTCCCGAGTAGTTGGGATTACATGTGCACACCACCACATCAGGCTAATTTTTGTATTTTTAGTAGAGACAGGGTTTCACTAAGTTGGCCAAGCTGGTCAGGCTGGTCTTGGACTCCTGACCTTGTGATCCACCAGCCTTGGCCTCCCAAAGTGCTGGGGTTGCAGGCGTGAGCAACCGCACCCAGCCCAAACTCTATTTCTTTTACCACTATGATAAGAATAAGCCTATATGCTTCAAGAGCTTTCTGGTTCCAGCTCTGCATTGCCATATTTTAACCAGTTTTCTTTTGTATGTTCCTTGTAACTAAGCAACCCTATATATACACTGTTGTGAAGCTTAAATGAGGCCCTTATAGAAAGGGCTTTGAATAATCCTTTTCTTGTGAGCCCTGAACACCTTGTAGCTATTGATTTAATGATGTTTTTGATGACAATAAATGTTTTTTGCCTTCAGGAAGCTCAGCAAAAGGGAAAAGGCATGGGTCGGGGGTTATGGATTCAATTTAGCTTAGCCATTGAATAGATCTGCTCTAGTCATAATCTGTGAATTTCATGTTTTTTTAAAATCTATAGATGATGATAATAATCTATTCTCTGACTACTTTTCAGGATTTCTGTGAAGATCAAATAAAATCATATATCTGAAGGTTTTATTTTTAAAATAGTTAAGATATTTAGAAAACACAAGAAACTGTGTCTCCTAATCCCTAGGTTTGAGCTCTGTCGGTTATCCCACGCTGCTTTTGAGAGCAGTTTGGGTTTCTGTTTTCCACAGTTAAGTCTCTAACTGAAATAATCTCCAAAATACAGGGAGATTTTTAAAGGAGACACAAGAAAAATGTGTGCAAAACATAATCTACAAACAAAAATGAAGCTTTGTTATTATTGTATCACTTCATGTTTAGTGGTTTCCTTTTGAAAACATTGAAAAGGTAAGCTTGCTGTTACCTCCACCTACCCCCACCCTGTCTATGTCCACCCCTATTCTGATGAAAGCTTTGGGCTGGACTTACCTTTGCAAATCCTCTGAAAGCTTGCTGCTCTCTTGGTACTGTGCCTTAGCACCTTGTGCAGAGGGAGATTTCAGGGTGGTTATCTTTCGAGTTTCCCCCATTCTTTAAAGAAGCTGTATTTCTAATCTGTGGCATGAAGACCTTTTGCTTATCTGGGTAGATTAAATCACAGGCCTCCTTATCAGTGCAGAGCTGAGAGAACGCTTGCAAATTGAATATAGACTTTACCTGTGAGCAGCATGGAACATCAGCTGAAACTAGTGCATCATTGCCAGTAACAGACATTGTTGATCCAGGTGTTTCGCCAACCACAGCTCACACCTGCATTCAATATGCAATTGTGCCTCCTCTAAATTAAGAATTTAGCAACATATCAGGTTGAAATAACTAACAGAGGAAAATTACGTGTAGTGAAAGGTCTGTTGCGGTTAAAAAAAAATTGACAAAGAAAATATGTAAACTACTGAGTCATCTCACACATAGCCAAGGACTTTTATTCAGTCTGCTGGGGGTTTTTCCTTAAAAAGTTGTTGAGGTCTGAAGAAAAATAATACCCAAGACAAGTATCCACACTGTGTGCGATGTCTCTTTAGCAATTTGTACTCTCAAGCTTACCACACCATTCAGGGTAGGTAGCATGATGTTGTAAACAAAACAAAACAAAACTGTGAGATTCCTTGGTCAGTTGAACTTGAATTCCTGGCTCCACATGTCTTTTCTGGGTAAACCTAGGGTAAACTAACTTAAGCTTTTCTTTTGGAAAACATTGCCTATTTTTGAGTTTCTTTAAAGATAAAAAATATGTAAAATAACCAGCTTATATTCTGATAAAGAATAAGGCCCTGTATATGTTTGTCTCCTCTCTTTTCTTTATTTCCTCTTAGGAAGCTGTATATGGAGATAGCAATTTTTGTAAACCAGTAGTTGGCTTGTACTTTATCATGCCATAGGGACCTCTGAGAAATTTCTTAAGGACACTGTTGTACCTGATCCTCTGGCCCATCAAGACAAAAAGTCTATCTAGGTTTAGAACAGTTAGGGCTCTTATAGCTAATCCATGTGTGATGATATTGAATGTCGATCAAAGACAGAGCAGGTTGTGCTAATTATAATACATGCACCTATAAGCGTGCAAATTGGCTTTGATCAGAACTGAAATTCCCAGCAGCCCCTAGGCCTCCTGTAAGGAAATGTGTATTATCAGATTTTCTTCAAAGGTAAAGAAAAGTCAGGTGTTAAGTGCCTGAGTTAATTACAGAAAAATACCAGCTGAGGCTTAATCAAGTATTTTCTGATTAGCAGTCAGTACAACAGCTCTAATCTAATAAACTGATAATCAGGGGTAATGGGAGCTGTTAGATAGGAGGGAAGACCCTTCTGTGGTGTTAGGGCTACTCTGTGACCTGTCACTGCTCGGGCTTTCTTTGTCTGGATGACCTGGTTTCCATAGTGCTGGGAGAAAGCTCAGCATAAGTAGAAATGCCTTTCAAAAAGATATGAGTTTTTGGAGTGGGTCAGTCCATAACTCTGAAGCCTCTGAGGCTTGGGGAGGCTTAAAAGGACAGTAGTCAAGTCATGTGGGGTGAGATATCTAGACTCTTAGCTTTGGCAGTGAAGGACCACAGTGGACCTCTCTCATCTGCTGCACTGATTTGTCTTGCATTGCACTCCTAGGGCAGTTAATACATTTCTATCATTCAGTATCTTCTGTACTCTACTTTGTGATGGTGGAACTTAGACCCTGCAAACCACATTTCTGCAGGAGAGATATTGAAAAGCTGAAGGAAGAATAGATTTGCTCCTGTCTATTTCCTACAGGGTTTCTTTCTGCTTTCTGTTCTTGTGGTCATCACCCCATCAAAGCTTCTTCACCTGCGCAGCAGCAGTTGTTTCTCATAGGAGCAACTGAAACCAGTTTGTGGTATTTCCAACACTGACAGAAATCACCTTAGCAATCCTTTTCAAAAACATCCATATCAGATATCTGGACTTCCATCCTCAGAGGTCACGGTTTCAGGCCCACAGAGCCCCTCTTGAAATCACTCTTCTGCCAGCACTAGTGATGCAGTAGAGCCTCCTCAGAGTTCTGAGTTTCAGCTCCAAGTGGTCCCTCTTCCAGGCTTTAAAAAGTGCAACCTTTGGCCTTCATTCCCCAGTCCAATCAGGATCACTTCTTCCTGTAATTATTGCCTTAAAATGCACTTTTTACATTAGTCATCTAGTTAATGTTATAACTGGTTAACAATTCTTTGTAGTAAATCATCTTCATTAAAAGTGCTGGTGTGATTTCTATCTCCCCTCACAACTATAGAAATTGGTACCAAAAAATAGATAATACAAGACCAGACTTGCAGATTTGTTTGGGAATATTTTTGAATTAGAATGCAGAGCTGAGCTCTTTGCCAATGGAAAATGGGTGCTAGTAATGCATGACATGCAGTGGCATCACAATTAACAAAACTGTCACCTGAGCTAAATGGTGATGATATACTTAATAGTTCTGTCTTCTGATGGGACTTTAAATAATGGAGTTCATGTGTTGAGTCTCTTGGAGAGAAAACCGTAACTGCCTGTGGCTTTCCTTGGCTGGTAGGATAAAATAAAAACTTATTCCCATGGCCTTTACTTCTCCATAACATCTGGTCCCATTCCAAAGTCATCTACCGATGGGTAGATGTTTGTTTGCAAACTTCCAATCTTCCTCCCAAAACTCCTGGAAGAAAACCGACCCATCTAATGGCCTTTGTCATAACGGTCCCATCCAGTTGGAATGCTCTTTACCCAGATTTTGTATGGCTGGTTTCTGTCCATTATTCAGGATGTAGGTCAAATGCTGCCTTCGTAAAAAGTCATTCCTTGACCAAAAAATTACTATGTCTGTCTGGGAAAGTTGGTCATTACCTTGAGACTTGAATATCACTCAAATTAACTGAGGAAATAAATAGATAAACATTAATTCTATTTCCAGTGAGTTATATTCAAGGGAAGACATATTTGTATATCGTTGTTTAAGTAGTCAAAACTCTACTACTTAGTTCCACATGTGTCCTTTAACTTTATTTTTTTGCAAATAGAAAACACTTCTTAAGGGAGAAAGGAAATTAATAGATAATCATTATAAGATGAGCCATGATTATAAGATCATTACCAACTTAACAAATATCTACTGATTTTTGCCCTGGCCATTTTTCCAAAATGGAATTGTGCTCATCGGGAACATTAATTGCATATAAAATGTATAGAAGTAGCATTGGTTATAACTATAAAAGAATTGTAGAATTTCAAAAGTAAATTGAAACAGTATGCGTAATTAATAAACACATAAAATGTGTGGAAAATGAGACATTTGGATAGGCAAAGTTGAAATGGGCATTAAAATAGTAAATGGTTAACAAAAACCACAGGGAACTGACTACTTCTCTTTGTTACAGGACAAATATGAAAAAATAGATAAACTTGTGGATGCCATTTTAATATTAATGTAAGAAATTTATATTAATAATTTTTGGATAAGATAAGATAATCTATCTTCCTGGATAAGATAGAGGATGAAATTTTAAGTTAGAGTATCTCCTTGCTTCATAATTCTGGCAGCTTCTGACACCCTCTGGAAGCTCTCAGCATTCTCCAGAAGTACTTGGCAGCCTTAATAATGTTCATCACACACCAAATATCACAGTGGTTGAGAGCACTTGGAATCTTGCAATAGGCACAGCTGGGGAAAGCTGGGAGCAACAAAAGCAGGGAGAAACAAGGAAAGGTTGGCAATTAGAAAAGGAAAACACAACTTTCTTGGCAGGTACTAGTCAGATGATACATGGTAAGAGATTCCCTCCTCATTCACTAAACTCAACTGCTCAGCCAGGCAACCTTCAATTCTGCCAAAAAAACAGAATGGAATTCAGGGTGAGAAATTTGTTCCTCAATTCTGGAAGACTTTTAGGACGCAAGACTGTGGCTTGCTTTTCCCATGACTCCTTATATTCAACTAGGCATATCTCAGAGACATATTATATAAACACAGATGTTAAAACTTCCGGGAATACAATGTCATTTTGTTTACATTGAGAGTGTAGATTTTTTCAGCGATCCATGTTAACATACTGACAGAACATAGAAAATGCTGGCGTAACTGCTCCACCAACCACTCCCCACTACCATGTACATACACACTTGCAATGCTTTATAATTAAATTACCTAAAGCAACTCAGTGCTCTCCATCCATATTGGCCACTGTGCTTGGAAAGCTGATGATAAGCCAGTTATTTCATCACATTCATATGAAACAGATTTAAACCAAAGTCTTCATTCCAGATAGTCTGATTAAATTGGATTAGGATCAGATTTAAAAAATCACTTCTGAGAGAAAACTCTCCTGAGCAAAAGGAAACAGCAGATATATTAAGCGTTCATAAAATATAAAAGATTTATATCTCTACTAGGATTATTTCTCGCTTACAATATTCCATCCCATTAAAGATGGAAAATAGATTTTCTAAAGTAGAAACATTCGTAGAATGGCACAAAGGAAAGGTAAGGATATAAAAGATTTTGAAGTAGACTGTCTTTGAGTCACATGTTTTCTCTTTGTTCTGCAATGCTGGTGTAGTTGAGCTTTCAAAGCAACTAGAGACTTGAAAATTTAGAGACACCTAAGTCATCCAAGTTTCTTTCTGAGGTCAAAGGATAGCTCTTAATCATATGAAAAGAAGAATATCAAATCAGATAGTTTAACTCATAATGCCCAAAATAGAACCTTCTATTTAGATTAATATACCTTTAGCTCATTTATCAATTTGTTTGAATTATAATCAAGCAATAGCCCACCTTGTTCTCAAAGGACTTAAGTAAAATAATGCAAGCAGTTTAGTGGATGCAGGAACTTTCAAATAGAAAAATGAAATGAAACAAGGAAATGAAAGATGAAAAATTACAGTGGGATCAAAAATGAATTTAATACAGTAATAGTTTACTCTTCACTTGCATTGGATGGATAGCAAAGTTGGCTCCAAGCTTTCTAGCAAGCAGTAGTCATAAAGAAACATTATTATTCACATGGCTCACAGTGGCCAAAATAGAATGTGAACCAGTTAGGCCAGTAAAGCAACTTTTACCTGATATCAAAAGAGGACATAATTTCTCCCATGGGGTTTTAATTTTTTT